ACTCTACATCACTTGATTCGATAATCACATTGGTCTCCAAGTTTAGCAATCTTTAAGATTTGCTATTGTTAGCATATCCAACGAAGGCATATTTAATGCCTTTTGGACCTAATTTGGTCATATTAGGGTTCGTGTTCTCGTGTTAGCAAGACACCCCTATACTTTGAAGTATCCAATGTTCAATTTTCTTCTTTTCTACAATTAGTAAGGAAGAACCTTTGTATGTTTTGAAGGAATACTATTGAGTATCCTACATGCAATTAATAAAACTTCACCCCATAAATTAAACGGTAATTTAGCATATATAAGCATGACATTAATCATTTCTACTAAGGTTCTATTTTTTCTTTCAGCCAAACCATTTTGTGTGTCCTAGGTCAGAACATTGGTGAATTATGCCATGTTATTCACAAAACAAGTTAAAATCACTAGAAAAGTATTCATCACCTTTATCACTTCTTAAGGTCTTTATTTTCTTTCCTAGATGGTTTTCAATTTCATTTTTATATATTTTAAACATATTAAACGCCTTGTTTTTATGTTTCATCAAGTACACATATGTATATCTAAAAAATTCGTCAATGAAAGTAATAAAATACCTATTTTTTCCTCTAATTAACATGCCATTTATTTTACATATATCAGTATGAATAAATTCTAAGATGCTAGCGTTCTTTTCACATTTTGATAGGGTCTTTTAACTATCTTAGATTCCACACATGTTTTGCATTTGTATTCATTATTTTCAATATATGAAATCAAGTTATATTTTTCAATCGTTTCATAGTACTTCTACCTCTATGACATAATCTAGCATGTCATAATGAAAATAAATCAAGGGAATAAGCAAAATCAACTTTATTTATTACATTGTCTACCGTACATAATTTGACTATTTCTTCACAATAATAGTCTTCTCCATCAAATTTCCCTTTAAGAGATAATACAAGTTTATCGGATTCGTACACACATTTGATATCCGATTTTCCTAACAGATAACCACTCACTAAGTTCCTATTCATATCCGGAACATGTAGTACATTTGTAAGGGTAACGATTTTCCCAGAAGTGAAGATGATATCGACATTTCCCTTTTCAATAACCTTGGATCGAACTTCGTTGCCCATTTGAATTTCTTGGTCTCCATCCACTTCATGATATGTTTTGAATAAAGATTTATCATATGATATATGTATGGTAACACAAGTATCATACCATCATCCAAGAACCTTTTCCTTGATCGCATTTATTTCACTTACCGTGACCACAATTTTGTCCTCTTGGATGTAATTTACTTTACCTTCGGAGTTGTTTCGTTTTCAGTGTCTACAATCCTTTGGATAGTGCCCAGATTTTTCGCTTACAAAACACCCTCCTTTGGTATTCTTCTTGGACTTATTAAAATTCCTTGAAGGTTTTTTATTGTTGGATTTACAGGCAGTTCAGATTTTTGAACGGTATTGGCCTTAGAAGTTCCTTCCAAAGAGTTTTCACTTCTATTATGCAATCTGGATTCCTCCTCAATTCGAAGATTTTTTTGCAATTATTCTGAAGAATAGTCTTTAGAACTATGCATTATTTTCTTACGGTGTCCTTTCCAAGCCCACAGGAGTTTAACAATTATAGCCCCCACTTGAAAGGCCTCTGGAATTTCAATCTTCACTAACTTTAGTTTGTTGACAATTACTTGTAATTCATGCACTTGGGGAAGTAAAGGGATATTATCAAGAAATTTAAAGTCAAAGCATTTAGAAATCAAAAATTTCTTGGTACCTTCCTCTTCTGCTTTGTATTTACTCTCCAATGCATTGCAAATCTCCTTTGCTGGTGTTGTGTTTATGTATAAATCATAAAAACGATCTAACAACATGTTGAGTATGTGATTGCGGCATATTAATTCATCTTCTTGGCGTTTCTGCCTTTCAGCCTTGATTGCTTCGGTCTCTCCACTTGTGGGTTACGGTAACGATGTCAAATCTGGATCCAAAATATAGAAGATCTTAAACGTAGTAAGAGAAATTTCAACTTGTCTTGCCATTTCGTGAAGTTAGTGCCACTGAACCGATCTAACCGTACCAAATCTTGGTTCATGACTTTTATGGTTGCCATTGTTGTTTCGCTCTCCACCACAGGAACTAACATTTGAGATTGTTGGAAATATTAGAAGGATAAAGAAGAAACAAAAAGAAAATCACGAGAAATATGGCAACAAGATAAACAAAATCAGAAAATTGTAACAACAAATGTGAAGGCTCGAACACGGAATCGCTGTCCTCAAACGTTATTTGCCCCCTCTCCGGTGTTTATGAGATGCTTAAAGGTATTTCAACAAATGATTTGAAGGACTGTAACAACCATTGTAAAGAATTTCACCAAAGTGAAATCCTCCAAAACTTGAAGAATATGAAGATAAAATGAATATGAATGTAAATTGATGTTTTTGGAACAAAGTATGGATTGCAAGATTTTTTCTTTACATATTTCCCTTGAACATGACTCATCTATATATAGCTTTAGACTAGACATTTGGAATGGTGCTAAAAAATCAAGTGAAACACTACCAATTTCAAATTTGCAACGACCAAAAACGATAAAAAATTTGTACCATACAAGCCATGTGGTCGCATGGTTCAAACATGACGAGACCATTTGGTCTCGGCATATAACCATGCGATCGCATGGCCAATCTCATTTATTTATTTATTTATTTATTTATTGTTGTTGGTTTTGAACAACCAAATTCACAGCATTGTGTAAGGGTGGGGTGGATTTGTTTGAAACAATGAATGCAATAGGAAAATGACGGAGTGGTGATAGACAGAATGGACACTCGATGGCATTGGTAGTAATGACTGGCTTGATGTGTGAGTAGGTGAGTGATAGTTTCCAGCGTCGTGGAGTTGTAGATGGGTTGGATTTTGGTTGGGTGTCGTAGGTGATGATGGTCGACGCGACACACTAATTTGGATGTGGTGGGTGGCGATCGTCGGTACCAGGGTGGAATGGGTGGCGGTTGATGGATGCCGACGACAGCAACGATGGGACTGTAGTGGTGGGTTTCTTGGTTTGGTTCAGGGGGAGGTGGGGTATGGGAAGGAGGAGATGAACAGGGAATTGATTTTTTGTTTTTAGTTATTTTTGTATTAGACTTTTTCCATCTTTTTTGTTTAATTATTTAATAAGGAAAGATCAAAGTTACTATTTTACCCCTTTAAAATTGGTCAAATTCAATTTATTGGGTTAACTAACAGTCAAACTAATAAAAATAATCTATTTGGACTTCGGGTGCTAATTTTTAGAAAGTTAGGGATCGTGAGTGACACGAAGTGAAGGTTCAAGTAAAATATGCTAAAAGGTAAAAAGTTTGGGGCCACTCTGCAAATATCCCTTAAAAATATCTTGTATATATTCGTCAAGATGATTAGTACAAAAACTTCATAAAAAATGAATGAACCTCATGATTAATTACGACAAGTCTTAGTTTGAGTTAAATTTGTTATTTATTGGACATTTTTCATCACCGAACTTGCTTTGATATTTCTACTTGAGAATAGTCAAATTACGTATTAATCGGGAAAATGAAGAAATTTTGCAAGCTTAAGACACCAAAGAATTTTCGTTTAATTATTATATTTATCATATTACATGACAATAAAATATAGTCCACACAATTTATTTACAAAAAAGGAAAAAAGATGACAATGAACAGTAATGTCAACAATTAATTGAAAACTACAATTTCATAAAATATAGTCCAAATAAATTATTTTAAGAAAGATGACCTTGAATAACAATGTCAACAATTAATTAAAAACTGCAATTTCAAACATGTTAGCTGAAAATAGGATTAAGGGGGTGTTTGAGCCACATTATTTAGGTAATAATGTACTCTTGAATAGTGTATTGATGGAAAATGTGTGGTTAAAAAATAAGGAGAAGTTTTTGATTTGCATGTAATATTATTTTATTGAAAAATATGTGGTTGAAATGATGTTAAATCACTGTTTAAAAATACATTTTTTTGAAATAATGTGGTTCAAACAGGCCCTAAGTTCCTTTCAGCATAAGCCACGTAACATGAATGTGAATGGATTCAAATTTTCATAAAATAAAATAAAAAAATTAAATACTATCTTTTCATGTGAACATTTAATACTTGCTTGGTGTATAAAATAGGTAGTTGTGTCAATCGAGTAGTAAAGTGTGCAAAAAATGGGTAGTTGGGGTCAATAAAACTTGTAATCACATTGTTTATGTATATTCAGATTGAATAATTTCATTTATAAGTTTAAATTATTATCATTATAATTTTACTAGGAACCAGATCTCACAAGCACAAACTGGATTAATTGTTTCATCAAACGTGTGTTATGCATGCAATTCTAGAAAAGTCTATGAGCGACGAAGAAACTTGACTCGAGGCATGTGCGCTTCTAAACCATGTAAATGACCTGTTTGTTAGGACTTTTAAAAGTTAAAAGTAGTTTCCGAGATTAAGAAATTGCTTTTAAATATGTTTAGAAGATTTTCGAAAAGTACTTTGTGTAATTACAAGAACTTTTAACGACAAGTTACCATTTACAAAGTTCTTCTATAAGAAGTAGACGTAAAAGTAGAAGTCCTTTAAAGTGTGTTATGTAGAAGTTGAAATGATTGAATCGTTACCAAAAATGAAATAGAAATTCTAAAGCCAATGACTTCGTTTGAATTTTGTCAATCCCTCGAGTAAAAGAGAATCCATTATTTGTATTTATAATTTATTTCCTCATTTAGGAGAAATAATTTACATTTTCTAATAGAAAACTGATCGTAAACACATAATTAAACAAAAGATGGAAACTTCACCATCTAGAAAAGATCAAATTAGAAACTATACTACAAAACTAGAAACATAGAATTTCCCACATCAAAACATGATAAATACAACAAGAAGGGGGAAATCGAAAGGTAGATGTCTAATACTGCTTACTGACTAAAAAAAAATAGGCCCGAAAATACCATTAAATCCATTTTGAAACACTCTCTGCCAACAATAATTTATCAATCATAACTTTTTCTCCAAACCTGTATGAAATTCTCATTTCTCCTTGTGAGTTCACACAGCCCTTTTGCACAGGAAAAGTCATTACGGCACTTCCACCATTAGAGTATGCACAGTCAAAAAGCTCTTTCATGGGAGTATGAAATTCACCAATATACCTGTCTCCCAGTTTCCTTTTGCAGTACAATTTTATAACAAGCATTGTATTGTAGTTTTGCACCATCGACTCGCTTATCGTGTAATTTAATGTGAAATTCCACGCAGGATTCGTCTTCCCGTGTGTGTCTGTTGGAGTTCGTTTCTCGGTTTCCGGTTTGCTTCCGATTGAAACCCTAGCATGAACTTTCATCTTGCATATTCTCCTGACATCTTCAAGATTATTAGCTGAGATAAGGGTTATTTCAAACTTTCTGCACTCCATATTTATCAAGCAGAAGTTTCTTCAAATTTAGCTTAGTTGAGTGAATAAGCAACTTATTATAGAAGAAAAACACAGCTTGACTTTTTAAGTTCTAGGTAATTTACTAGTTAGAGACAAGAAAGAGAGGAATTTCGTTAGAAAAACTAATGTGACAATTACATGTGTACTAGAATAGTTGGGATGACCAATCTAGGACATAAGATTCTTTTTCAAGTTTTCGTCACTCCTACTTGGTCATAAATTATGAACAATTCATTTGTCAACATCTTCTCGAAGAGTACTTATCTACTAGTGGGTATGGAAGGATAGAAATTTAATTAGTGACTAAATATAATTTTTTTTTGTGACTCAGGAGTTTGAATTTTGTCCGAATAATTCTAAGAAGTAGCGATCTTCCTCCCTCCCCGTTCGCCACCCAGGTGACTAAATATCATTTTCGTTGATGTGGGGTAGTCTTACCTAATATGTATTCAACTTTTTCTAATTAAATTTTGTCTATTTGTATGCTAATTTGTGGGTCAAATTGGACAGCAACCAAGTCAAAGTTGGTTGCTAAAATGTAACATCAAGGAACAATTCTTGGTCACTCATTAATACTTAAAAAAATATACCAGAATAAAAAATTCCATGAGAAATCCTTATCACCGAGACAAGTGTTCTCGTTTGGTCGCTGACACATTAATGGTTGTTGCTGGTGCCTACAACCACCATACAATGGTCTCCACAGTGGTGCATTCTATACATTGACCAAGTTCCATTGGTCGTTGAGTGACCAACTAAAGTTTGGTAGCTGAAAAATACGTACAGCGATCGCTAAAAAGTACTTACAATGACCACGCGATGGTCGGAGCTTCCTATATAGCGACCAACTGAAAGGTTGATTGTCGTTGGTGAGGCCTCTTATATAGAAACAAATTCCCTTGGTCACTGAAACATCCAAAATGACGTGAAGAAATATGCAGAATTTATCAAACCATGCATTTCAGCAACCAATTGAAGGTTTGTTGCTGAAAAATACTTACAGCGACCATACATAGGTCGTTGTAGTTCACTCTTATGCCAAAAAATGTGGCTCTTTTTTTTCACCATAATCTTTTAGTGATCAACTGAATACATGGTCCCTGATACTCTGAATCGACGACCAAGTTTTGATCGCAAAAGAGTAAAATTAGTCTAATTTTAAAAGACCAAAACTTTCACCAACCAATTTTGGGTCAGTAATAGTGTCTAATAGCAAATATTTTTAATTGGTCGCTAAACCTTTGATTGATGAAGCCATTTTTTTTTTTTTTTTTTTTTTTTCTTTTTTTTTTTTTTTTTTTTTTTTTTTAAAAAAAATAAAGATTTTTTTTTTCTGGTATTGTTACTTCATGTTCTTGG